ATAGAGGGCAATTTTGAGTTTCATTAAGCACTGTGATTTCACTTTATACCATGATACCAGGGTTTTGTCGAGACAATATTATCTATTTCAGAAATCAGTATTCTAAAGATCTTATCTCTTTGAATATTTAGTCATTTTATTTCAGCCACAATGGTGATCACTTCAGTATTCTTAAATAGGACTGAGTGCGTGTTTTTAAAATGTTGATTGCTAGAAAAGGGAAAGGTCTGCAGTACTTTGGGAGAGGTTATCTTAGCACTTAAAAATGAAACCTCATTGGTAGATGGCTATATTGTATGAAGGATGAAAAAGAAGCTGCAGTTCAACAGATGCCAGGTGGAAGATTTCTGAATTGACCTCACCAACTACCTTGTAGCACATGAAATTAAAAAGTAAGGCATTTTGAAAGACACTTCAGCCAAAACATGTAGTATTCTTACATAGGTTAGCGGATCTTTTGAGTTTTGATAGTCAAAAGCAAAATCACATTAAAATTTGTGAAAAACTCTAATGTCTTAGATGAAAGAAATAATTTGTTTGGAACTGTATTTATTTAGTTTTGGAATAGACTACATACATGTTTATTTAAACAAATAATGAGTATGTGTAAATTAAAAAAAATAAAGACAATTGGACGAGGAGGTACATACTCTTCAAACAGATACTATTTTGTTTTAATTAAAGACATTTAGTAGAAATGGAGAGAGCATTTTGGCACCCCTCAAAGCAGTCTTTGGCTTCGGGACAATGATGCATCTCATCAGGCCTCCGTGAGGCCTTCTGTTTTCATGCCACCTGGGAGCTGTTTGTGACATCCTAAAGGTGGTTAAAGATACAGTGACTGCGCACCCATGAAAAGAGATTGGGTTAAAAGTAGCAACTATTTCCACAAGAATTCTAAATGGCTAAAAATAAATAGATGAAAAGTAAAAAGGGTGAAAAAATATACACCCTACACAAAAGTGAGTATATTGATATTAAGACAGTTAACTGTAAAATGAAGAGTATTGCCAGAGAGGAAGATGTTACATAATGCTAAAAAAGCTCAGTTTACCTAGAGGTATAACAACCATAAACTTGAGAACATCTAACATCAGAACTTCAAAGCACCTAAAGCAACATTCACAAAGCTGAATATAGATGTAGACTTATCCATTAATTGGAGATTTAATGGTCCTTGCACAGTAATCTATAGAACAAGTAAATAAACTCAGTAAGAATGTAGAAGAGCTGAATAACACTACCACTCAACTTCACCTAGTGGGTGTTTCGAGAAGAGTCCACCCAATAACAACATATCCTTTTAAGTGACTAGGCCACATTCACCATGATAGACCATCTTCTGAGTGTAAAATGCACCTTAAATTGAAAATAATACGCAAAGTATATTCCTCACCATAAATAAATTTAACAAGAAATCCACTACAGAAAGATATATGAAAAATTCTCAAATTCTTTAAAGTTGAATAGACTTCTAAGTAAACCATTGATTAAAAAAAAAATCAGTTATTCCCAACTTGAATGAAATGTTCATAATTCCTTCAATTTTGAATTGAATGGAAATAAAGGCACGATAGGCCAAATTTTGTGGAATACCACTAAATCAGTACTTAGGGAGAACTTTGTAGCACTAAATAGTTAGAATTCTTAAGTCAGCTAAATTTCTACTTGAAAAACCAGCGTCAACTAAACCAAAAGCAAACAAAAAATCAACAAAATAAACTTTGAAAGTGGGAAAAAAAGCCAGTAAAATACAAAACTGATTCTTTGAAAATATCAATAGAGTAGATTCATGTCAAATCAGAATGACCAAATTAAAAGGAGGAAAGGTTCAAGTTACCAAATACCAGGGCTAAGAGGAGTATTCTATAGTCAATAAAAGTTTGATGGGGAATATTATGAACAACTTATGTCAATACATAAAACATCTTAGATGAACTGGAGAAATTTGGTGAGATGCAAATTACCAAAGCTCATTCAAGAAAAAATAATCAGACTAGCCCATGTTAACTGAAGAAATTGAATTCAGTTAAAAACTATTCAACAAAGCAAACTCCCAGCCCAGATGACTTCACTGGAGAATTCTGCCAAACATTTAAGGAACATAGACCAAGCCTATATAAACTGGCTCTGAAAGTGGAAGAGGTGGGCCTACTCCCAACTTGTGAGGTCAGCATTGCTTCAGTGTCAACACCAGTATGAAAATACTACAAGTGAGTATTTCTCATGAATAGAGATGTAAAGCTCAATACAGCATCAGTGATTCTAAGCTAAGATTTTCCCTATTCTTATCTCTACTTTAAAAACTGATTGTTTTGACTATACTACCAAGTACTAAACCCATCACAGTCAAAACACACTAACCACAGTCTCATTCACATGAATCAGCACTCAAGTTACTGTGCTATTGTGAATCGATGAAGACATATTTCTGCTTATCTGATGGTACATGAGCAAGCATTGTTACTTCATGAAGTACCTGGGATTGACAGTCTTCTGATGCTCTTGCTATGTAAGATGAATGTTTTCTTCAAGGTATATATAGTACCATGCTCACATCTTATCCCTTTATTCTTTATTAGAAGTGGAACTGGAAAAAACTAAGTCGGCTTTTCTGGGATGTGAGAATTCCAAGTTGTAAGATGTAGAAACTGATTCTACTGTGGGTTGATGCTGATGTCATTCACTACAAGAATTAATTACTCATGTATTTCATCATCTTGAAAGTGCTTCAAAGGTCACCTTGAGTCACCCAATCCTCATTTCTTAAGGTTCATGATTAATTTGATGCTTAGTTTGGGGTTCGTTGATTGCTTTGGAGTTTGTCTGGATCCTGTTCTTTTAGGAAGGTGCTTCACTCTGTCTTAATAAAAACTTTCCATATAATTGCCAAGTGATTGTGCTTTGCATTTATATTTAGAGGTGCTGAATTCCCTGGTTGTCCAACAACCAGGAGACTTTGGAGTCAACACCACCTTCAGGCCAAAGCCTGCAGAATCCTTCCATTTCTACTTCCCAGCTATGCATATAGGTAGTGAGTGTGCCCAAGGGTCTGAAGGACAACTCAAGTCTACAGCATGGCAAGGGAGTGAGCACCAGCGCTGCATCACTGAGGATCTATTGTGCCATGTCAGGGATTTTGGATTCCATTCTTATTGTGCCGATAGCCACTGAAAGGTTTAAATGGGAGTGATGATGTCACCGAGTAGACAGAGACCAACACTTCATTGGGGACATCTTGGAAGCTATCACTATGCAAGGCTGAGCTCTACCTACCTCCCATTTTTTAAAATCTGAGGTGGGAACCTTTCCAACCCCACAGCTACCATACAATGCAGCATATCTTTATTTTTTTAAGATTTTACTTATTTATGCATATGGATATAGGACTGGGGTACAGGGGTGGTGAGAGGACTCACCAGAGACAGAGTGGGAAGCAGAACAGGCAGATCGACAAAGTACACTGCTGAGGGGAGCAGTGAGCAGGTCAGGAGAGGTCTGCTACACCATGTGGGTCACCTCTGGGGCAGTGATTGAACTCAGCTCAAGTGGCTTTATCTTCTTATTAGTGCTCTGCTTTAACCCAGTATGCCACCAGGCAGGGTCCTCAGCATATCTTTCTCTTAAGGAGACTTCTGTCAATCCTTAGGGCACCTGTTGCAGGTGTTTTCATGCAAGTACATGACATTCACACAAGAGGAGAATGAGGCTCTGCTCTGAACCCCTGTAGGCTGGCAATTGAAGTCCAGGGTGACTGGTCCCAACATGACTTTGCTTTCAATTCTTCTGTTCTCTCTTAATATTTTAAATAATTTTGCACCCTTCTTTGTTGTATCCATGTTTGGTTTAGCATAAAAATCATTTTCCTCTATTGTTTTTAGGCTTCATTTTACAAATGGAGAGCCCAAGGCTTAGAGAGGTAGACTACTTTGTCCAAGGTGACATGGGTAATACATGGCAATACTGGATTTGAAATGCATGTTGCTAGAGTGCATAGTCTTTGTTCTTACTAAGCCCACTATTCAGTTATATCCCCAGTGCATAGGCTGTACCTCCCATGTCTGGCAGGTGCTGAGGAAGCAGGAATGGCGTATTAGGGTGGTCTGGCATCTGGTGTTAGGAGCCCCACCCTAGACACTTGAACCACTGGAAAGCTGAACAGAATTTGTGATTCTAGGTGTCCTGTCTGTATACCTCAAGAACTGGACTCTTTCTTCCTCCCACATGTGTTCAGCCTTTGATACGACCCCAATGGCCAACTAGTACTTATGGCATGTTTGTCTGTCTCTCTGCCACATTATGGTCTCTGGAGGATGTGTCCTCTGCTCAGCTCACCTCCTTAGGTAGCCTGGACTGACTAGTACTTATTAAATGTGATGATCAAAGAGTAGGTGCTAGAATTCTGCCTGAGCCTTGAGCCTCAGATATGAGGTTCGGTCCTCATGCTCAGGGCAAGGGTCTTTGAACATGAGAGAGCCCAGGTCCAGGAAGAGCAAAGGCTGGCCTTCTCTTGGGGTGCCATCACCAATCCTTAGAGCCAGAATGCTGCCCGCGGGTCTCTTGAGGTGACCATCAGATCCCAAGATAAAGATGTGGCTGCAAAGCTTTCTGAGCCCAACTGCAGAAAGCACAGTGGTGCAGGGCTGCAAGGCAAGGTAGGAGGAGGCTGAGGAAAGTCGAATTACATTTTGACTGGGTTCATTTTCTGGGTACATCAAGTGGAAATAGAGACCCAGAGACATTTGTGGCCATCCGATGGAAATAGAGACCCAGCGAGAGGGATGGTGGGAACTCAGGGTGCAAGGATGGGCACTCGTTTTTTCAGCCCACATCCCCTCTTCTTGCAGTTGAATACAAACTCAGACTGTACCCTAAGTGAAATGGGTTTTATTCACCTTCCCGTTGGCAGTGTGCAACCTCAGAACTGCTTGCTTTCTGGTTTTATTTTTAAACCATCCATGGAGTCTAATTAACTTTATGACTTTTATTATTCATTTCAGAAAAGCTGTACAACTCAAGTGGACGAGATTTAAGAAGAGCCCTTTTCTCCCTGAAGCAGATATTTCAGGTAAAACAAACACAAGTTACTCTAAGGTTCTATTTTCGTATTGCACTTGGAATTAAATAAAGATAAACTTGTACTGCTTACTGATTACAAATAAAGCTTCATTACATCACAGTGCAAATTAGATTAGAACATCATTCAGATTATTTTAATGTGTCACTTATTTCCAATATACAAAGTTAAGACATGTATTACCTTTTCTAATTTAATTCGGATTTATTAAAGAAAAACTGGTAGAATTGCGGTTTTGTGTTCTATTCTTCAACACCAGCCATCCTCTCCCACCCCGCCCCCAGTCTGCTCTCAGCTGGATGATGAATTTAGTGGTTGTCACACACAAACATGTTTCCATACCAGTGCTGAGTGGGCACCCACAATATGTGACATTCTCTTACGTTCACTGCATGCGTAAGTTATCTTGTTGAGATTTGCTTCAAATTTATATAGCAGCAGCTGGGGATGCATAATAGATGCAATAGGATTAGAGTGAGTTCCTTGGCATCTGGGGCTCACTAAATTACCTTCTTTTGAATGTTTGAAGCTTACTTTTGTGGAACAGTTAGAAAACAAGTGTCATGTCTAGGGGCTTGTTACATGTCCCCTCATCAAACTAGTTCTGTAGTGTTAGCTTTCTGCAATCTCAGATGCTACTTTGTTATTTATTCATCAAAGAAATCTTTTTGAGCACTTCGTAGGCAGGAAGAAGGTGCTTGCTATCGGAAGTATATGATCTGTTTGGAAAACCATAACGTGTGTACAAAATAGCTCTAAAGCATGGGGTAGGAATGCTTTGGGTGTTAAATGGATTATACAGGCTGCAAGCTGTCTGGAGCTTTGATCACTTCTTCCCAGATCCCTGGGTCTGCATCTCCTTCTCTGGTGTTTATTAAATGTGGAAATTCTTTCTGAAGCTAGATTGTAAAGGTATTAAAAAAAAGTATCATCGGTCATTTGAATGGAGTTGAAGAATAGTTTTTGACGAATAGCCATTTAAAAAAATGATCACAGGTTAAATCATGGCGATTACAGAAAAGTCTGAAATAGCGATAGCCATTTATCAGTTAGTGTTAACATTTTTATTTCGTTCTAGTCAGAAACCGTGTTTCAAGAACCATTTATTAATGCCTATATATTTTAGGGCTTGTGCTTAAAATCTAGTACTGTGCCAATTTGTAAGAGTGTGGGAAGATTCTCTGTATTTATTATCCATGAATTTCAATCTCCTCAATGCCTTATCTATGTGTGTGCAGGCCTTTTAGTTTGGGCTCTGAATTATTTTTTATAAACATTGTCTCCTCTGTCTAGTGTTTTTTCCAGACACCTTTGCAGGCAGTGAGCTTTCTGCTATATTAATATTAGTGATTAGCTTGAGTGGTTTCTTGAGAGGTTGTTCTCACTTTTTCACCATGAAGTCATGTGTGAATCTAGCTTTAAAGTAATAAACATTTGTTACATGCTTGGAAAAACTTTCTGACTAGACATGAGCTCATCTAAATGTTCACTTTTCACATATGCTGGTGGAAAAGGATATGGATGGAAGCGAGAGAATTATTTTTTATTTCCTTTATACATATGAGTGTAAAGTAATTTTCCAAAGGCTCAAGATACTCTCCCATTTTCTCCTGCTTCCAAAGCCATGATTATCTGCAAGTCAGAGTTAGCACATCTGTCTTGCATTTCCTTCAGGGCACAGTTACTGCTCTCCTCCCTCCCAGAGCCCTCCGAATGCTGAGTGCTTCCTTGGTTCAAAGAGAGTCTTTGCCTGGCCTGCCCACATTTAGCTCAAGTCCTCCATCCACATAATTGGAAAATGCCATGAAATCAAAATGAAGGGCTGATTTCATGTAGGGACAGGAGAATTATGCCAATTCGTCTAAATTATTTTTTTCTCTTGACCATCCCTATAATAATAACCTTTCATTATTCTATTAAACTTTCTACTATTTACATCACTGAGGTTTTTTCTTTTTGCTCCATTTTTATAATTGAAGATGAATGTGCCAACCTGATCCTCGTTGCATCTACAGCAAGGCACTGTCAGTGGAAAAATTCCTTCTCAGAGGCTCTGAGCCTGGTACTACAGAAAAGGAATTGGGCTTGGGTGCTGCTTAGAAGTTGGTGATTTGGCTGAAGTTTTATCGCTCACTTTATGGAGACAAGGTTAGCATTAGATAAGTGGTTCTTGAGCTGTCTGCTCTCTAGGAATTCCTGGGGAATTTAATAGCACAATCTACTCTCTCCAGAAATTTGACCATATCCATCTGGATGGAGACCTGCTTCCTGTTCCTGTTGAAAGCTTCCTTACATGATTCTAATGTGCAGAGATCAGGGGTGAGAACCATCTCAGTACCTCTAAATCACCTGGAGGACAGGTTAAGCATAGATGACTGAGACCTCTGCAGTAGAGTTTCTATCCAGTCAGCCAAGGGTGGGGACTGGTAGTTTGCATTTCTAATAAGTTCCCATGAGAGGCTCCTGTGGTGCCTGTGGGTCTGGTGACCCTTCTTTGAGAACCACCAGATTTCAATGATCTCTGAGTCACATTCTGCCTCTCTGACCAGGCCTGCAGGCCAGTTGCAGTATCTCTTAGGAAGGATGGTGTGTCTGTTCTAGGTACATGGCTGGTTCTGCCTCCTTGTTCATCTTGTCAGGAGCTTATCTTTTTTCTTTTTTAAAGATTTTATTTATTTATGCAAACAGAACTGGGGCACAGGCCAGAGGTGCAGGGGTAGTGAGAGGATTCACCAGAGACAGAGTGGGGAACAGAACAGGCAGATCTACGAAGTACACTGCTGAGGGGAGCAGTGGGCGGGTCAGGAGATCACCTCTGGGGCTGGGGATTGAACTTGCATTGAAGCAGCCCTGGCTTGCTTGCAGCGCTGCACTTTAACCTGCTGAGCCACCAGGGAGGGCCAGCAGCACATCTTAGGAGGGAAAGAAGTTGCCTTTTTTTTCTCAGATAGCATTCCCAAAGTACCTGGCTTTAAGGGCTGTCTTTTGGAGTGAGTGTGTAGCTTCACATAATTCATTGGATGGTCTGCGCAGCAATCAAGTACTTCCTGTTGTTAAAAAAAAAAAAAATCAGGCTTCATATGGCAAGTTCATAGAGACCTGTGGAGGAGCCTGATGCTTTTTAAGCAATGAAGAATGGAACATACTAGATATTCCTTATGGGATTCATTTGCTTTAACATTATAAAATTGCCCAGCAGGCAAGAATTGGTCTTTGGCAAACAACAATATGGAGGCTGGTGGTAAATTTCCTTTGGCAATGGTTAAGATGCTTCATTTGAATAGAACTGAACGCTCTGTAGAGGTTGGACCAGCTTCAAAGGACTGTACATAGTTGTAACAGCATAGCCTGGACGGAGAATGGAGGGGAGATCGTATTTGAAATTGTTTTGTTTTTCCCATTTCCTGCCAGGATGACAAGGATTTGGTGCATGAATTTGTTGTGGCCGAAGGTCTGACGTGTTTGATCAAGGTGGGAGCTGAAGCAGATCAGAACTATCAGAACTACATCCTGAGGGGTAAGTTACCTCTGCAGTGGATGGCCCATGCACAGGAGGGCTGGGGTCACTTGCAGTGGCCTCTATCCCATGAGCTTTTTCAGACTTACTTTCTGGAGTGAGGTGGTGAAGACACCCCTAACAAATGATGATGTCTTCAGTAGATTTCAGCAGTTCCTTATAGTGAATTAATGATCGGACAAGTTATGTTAACTTTCATTTGACGTTTCTTTCCTATTATTAAGAAAACAATATACAATGCTCTAGATTTTTTTAAATATTAATATAATTGACCTAATATTAATATTGGCTTCAGGTGTAATGTATGAGGTCCTTTGCGATCACCTTTAATTGGTGAGAAAAGAAACATACTAAATGGATTTGGATGAAGCCTGCATTCAGTGGATAGTCCTTCAAAGCCAAAGAGAACAATTTATTTCCTACAGAAAAAATAGCTTCTCCAACTTCAGGTTAGCAACAGGGGTGCTTGTCAAAAATGCTCACATCTCACCAGGACTCAGTAGCTTCTGACTTCTTAGGTCTAGGCCAGGCCCAGGAATTTGCATTTTAAAGTGATTCTGGAAGCCTCCTCCATAATTTCATTTTTCAGAACACAATGCATGTGCGGGGTTTGAAGTGCTGTGTATTGTTTCAGTTCATAAAGTTCATGCTTTTTTACAAATAATTACAGTATGTTTGTGCACCTTTCATATAAATTTCATTTGCTCTTGTAAAAATACTATAAATTGGTAGGCAGCAACCATTAGGGGACTTGTGAACTTGCTATCAACAGTTTTGACCTCTAAAAGGAGAGAATTATTATCTCACTTTGCAGCTGAAAAGAAGTGAGACTCAGAGGCTGGGTACTGACCTAATAGATTCACTGCCCCAGTGTGTGCCCCACCTGGCCCTGTGACATGTCGGGTTGATCAGGCGTCTGGCCGCCTCCTGCACGTCTGCCTATAACCTCCCAGCTCCGGGTGCTGCGTGTGTATAAGGGACAAAACCCAAAGCTCATTTTCCCGTGGGTGCAGGAAAAATATGTGAAATGTGATTTGATATCAATTATTGCCTATGGCTAAAATGGAATGAAACAAGCAAAATGAGAGTGTCCTGCAGTTCCTCTTGTGCTTTACCCTGAGCCTGGCCCCTGATGTATGGGATGCCTGGATGGAGAATGGAGGGGAACCAGTATATCCAACCCTGAGTCCAACCCCCTTTTTTCCCTCCTTCTGGCAGGCCTCCGAAAGAAAGGACAACAGCCGAAACTAAACAAACCTGGCCTAAACTAAAAATAATCCTTTAAGGATTTATTTTCAAATCAGTACTTTTTAAAATTTTTTAATAAATGCTAAATGTATGTATTCCTCCATCTCTTGTTTTTTCTGCTCATGCTGTTTGTGGTGTCAACTTCTCTGTCCACCATCCATGGATCTATGCACATATATATAGATCCATATTGTAGGTTATTAGTACAGATGCTTTATGGATTTTTAAAAAAAGATTTATTGATTTATTCATACAGAACTAGGGGCCAGGCCAGAGGTGCAGGGGTGGTGAGAGGATTCACCAGAAACAGAGTGGGGAGCAGAACAGGCAGATCGACGAAGTACACTGCTGAGGGGAGCAGCGGGCGGGTCAGAAGAGGTCTGCTATGCCATGTGGGTCACCTCTGGAGCGGGGATCCAACTCATGCTAAAGTGGCCTTATCTTCTTAGTGCTGTGCTTTAACCCACTGAGCCACCAGGGAGGGCCCATTTTATTGGATTTTTATGATATCCTCAATATATTAATACTTGGAGACTTCCGTGGTGTATGTAAATAACTTAGCTGTAAACGAAACTCTGTCCTGTTGGCATTGCAAAGAGACTTGGGCAAGCCTTGAGTCTCATAATTCTATCACATGGTCTGGCACATAGAATGGGGGAAATCTAGTTTATTTGCCAGGTCACTTATGATTTGGACATTCATAAGATGAACTACAAGGAAGGAAATGTATCTATGCACCACTAACTTTGAATGATAGGTCTACCCTGGCAATATATTTTGGATTTTGGTTATGTTTAAAGCATACATCGTTTTTTTTTGTTTTGTTTTGTTTTTTAATATTTATTTATTTGTTCATACAGAGCTGGGGTACAGGCTAGAGGCTCAGGGGTGGTGAGAGGCTTCACCAGAGACAGAGTGGGGAGCAGAACAGGCAGATCGACGATGTACACTGCTGAGGGGAGCAGCGAGCGCATCAGGAGAGGTCTGCCACGCCATGTGGTCACCTCCCGGGCAGGCGGGAATTGAACTCATGCGGAAGTGGCTTAAGCTTCTCAGTGCAGTGCTTTAACCCGCTGCGTCACCAGGGAGGGCCTAAAGCGTACATCTTTTTACCCTTGATCTTAGCCAAAAGGCTGAGAAGAGATAAAAGCATACATCTTTTTAACTTCACAAAAATTCCTCCCTGGTGGGTGTTTCTCTCTCTTACACACACACAGCTCTTTAATATTATAACCGTCTAAATGTTTACATTCATTCTGTTGACTCTTATTTAGAAGCGATATGGTATTTTTAGAGTGTAATCATTAGTACAAAACAGTGACATTCACCTACATTTGAGACTAGGGGGAGTGGGGGAGCAGCTGTGGTCAGAATTGTCATATTAAGAAGGCAAAATTTTTGTCAGAAGCCCCCTTGCAGCCCTCCTGTGGGGACAGAACCAGGTCACATGACTTCCTGTAGCTGCAAGGGAGGCTGGCAGAGTAGGTGTTCTGCTTCTTGGACCCCAGGGGAGGCAGATAGAGAACAAGCTGTGGCTTTGAGGGTGGTTACCAGTCCTGAGGGAGTTAAGAAAAAAAGACTTGCCCAGATGACAAAGCCCTTTCTAGTGAGCAGTTGTGTGGCAAGCTCGTTGTCAGAAGCAGCAGTCTGCATGCTGCTCAGGGACTCATCATGAGATCAGGGGCAGGCCCCATGTCTGTGCGTGGCCACAAATCATGAGCTCCCCAAATGTGCTTCCCAGCAATGGAAGAAAAAGTGAAGTTAGAATGCTTCAGCTCGACTCTCTACCTTAATGGTGGTTTAGTACAAGCCCACCGGGGTTAATAACTTGTGGTGTTATCTTATCTGTTATCTGTGCCAGAGAGGTGCCAGGGACAACTGCCAAATGTTTAAGAATCAGAACCCAAGCATGACCATGGAGAGCCCTGCAACCACCTGCTGCTCCTGTCTGTGCAGAAAATGCCACTGAGGCAAGACCCTCACTGCAGACAGTCCTTCATAAAGGGTGTGGTCTCCAGGTGGTCGTTGACACCATGTGTTACCTGGAAAACAAACAGGTACTTGCTCCCATTCAGATTACCACACAGCAGGGCCTGCTTTCCCTGGGATGGAGGTGCCTTTGCATGCCTGGCCCTCTGTAGCTCAGACGCAGAGCACTAGGGATACCCAGCACACTTCCTACAACAGAGGCACATTTGGATGTATCAAACAGAAACCTGTGCGAGGAAAGTACCTCCTGGGGAATGCAAGTGACAGACTTCTTGGTGTGACTTTTGTTTCTGAATATAGAGAAAACCATTTTTCCTAGCTACATATTGAATCACCCCTTCCTAACATTGATGAACTTCTCATGTCAGCTTTTTAAGATTGTGATCAGTTGCCAGCAGCCATTAAACTTGTGAAATCAGGGACACCTATTGATTTGATTCTTTGTCCAACCTCATTTTAACCCTGTAACTTGGGTGAGGTAAGATGTAGGCAGACAAAGATCAAATGAAAGAAACCGGAAAAAGTTTTGCAGTTTGGTAACACAGTTCTTTGGGGAGAACCAGATGTCACACAGGGCCATTCAGGAAGCACAGGAGGTATTGTGGGGCCACTGGGTGGTCCCTTTATAGTGGTTTCTGCTGAGGTGGGGTGTGGGGGAAGTAGGATCAGGATTTTCTAGCTTGAAGAGTTTCCAGAGGCCTTGCCTGTACGTCGGGGCTGTCCGGGTTGTCTAGTGTCTGGTATTTGGTGCTGGGGCCATGAAGGTGGGAGTGGAGTGGCCTGGAGTGTGTGAGCTGAAAGGCTGGTGGCTGGGGTATGGGCTTTCTGATTTGTTGGAGAAGGGGCACTAATTCACCTCTAGTCAGGGCCTTCAAGCTGGGTCAATATAACATTTCAAAACTCTATTGCAGACTAAACTGTACATGGGTTGACTGTCACAGTGATGGGGAAAAGCATGCCTGTCGTGAAGTTACCTCAGCAACCCTGCTCTGTGACCATGTGTGAGCCTCACAGATCCAAAGGAAACAAGAGCATTTGGAGAACCCAGTCCTTTCCACATCTGCTTTCAGAGCTCCTCTAATTTATCTTTATTTTTGCACTTGCCCTCTGTCAGCCTTTTTTTTTTTTTTTGCCCAGGACCAGCAATCTGTTTCTTTTAGTTGAGGATGTATCTGCTGAGAGGTAAAGATAGGTTTTGAATTACAGTGTAGTCAAGTGCTCTCCAAAATGTGAGCTGGCTGCTGGGAAGAGGTCTTAAATACACAATGTGTAGAAATAATATTTATCTGACTTATTATTCTTGGATGGTTAAAGCTAATGATCTAAAGTTGTTCGTGATAGCCAGTATTTAATAGAAATCTACTGTGGAATTTTGTACCTCGCAATTATTCTTATTGAAGGAGGACCTAGAGTGATATATTCTTGGGAACTTAAACTTCCCATACTGTGCCATCGCTGTGGGTCACACCAGGCCTCAGGAGGCCACCATGTCATACTGTGCCCTACATGTTGACCCCAATATGTCTGACGTGTTTAGAAATTGTATCTTGGTGATGTGCTTTGGGGAGAAAAGAGTAAGAGAGAAGTAGAATTGGTAACATCAGTTGCCCTTCTGGCTGCATCTGGAGGGTACCTGCTTCTGGAAAAAATATTACATGGAGAAATTTGATCTGATGATTTCTCCAAAAGCCAAAAAAAAAAAAAAACAAACCCCAAACTAGACTATTTTTAATGATAAGTTTCTCCAGTTCTTATCAGACCTT